TATATAGACGCCAATACTAGCGTCTTGTTTCGGCTTGACGTTGAGTTCTGGGATACCCTGTATAAAAAGTATAGATATGATAAACAAAAGTATAAAGTATATTATTACCATTACACCAGTGTCGGTGGCTCATAATCTTTAATATCTTTCAAATTCCGCCACTCGGTAACTAAACTCGACTCAACATACAAATGGCCTGCGGTATTTGTCGAACGGCTCAGCGCCGCAGAACAATGCAAAGTGATTGTAGGCACCCGGATAATCCCCGAGTCACAAGGGGTGCCCCTTCTCATTCCAGTCCCTAGTCTCTACCCTACTTTTGGGGTAGTACACAGTAGGAGTAGGTTAGGTAGTAGTACCTCGTATTCTGTCAAACAGGCAGACAAGTGTGTTGATAATACAAAAGTCTACAGCCACGGGTATCGGGCGACGTGCGTCGTTTATTATCCTTCATTAGGAGGACGCTGGTGTCATAGTAATTAATTAGAATTAGAATTATTAGATTATCCACTGCTGAGGTATTAGAAATATGACAGGATAATTATATAGTGCACTGTATAATTACATCTAAAATACACAAATGCAGTATGCAACTAGTGGTGCATGGCGTCGTGTCTTAAGGCAAATTGCTGGAACTTGCCGTACCAGAATTTAATATTCGAGGGAAAAAATCAGTAATCGATAAATATTAATCAATGATTAATAACAATTGTTTTAAATATTTTCAAATAAATATTTATAATCACCATATATTTTATCGTTCATAAAATATACAGTGACCACCTCGTCCCTCAAAACACTTGAGAAAGTTTACATTAGCAAGAGTTGCCGAATGAATTCATCTGAGGATATATTTCTTACGATTAGAATAACGCATTTGAAATATACACATTTTGAAACTAAATTGTAAATTTAAAATTCATATTTGGAGTATGAAACTTTGTTTATTATTGAAAATTTTGTAATAAAATTTTTTCTGAAAATTTTGAAATTGACTTGAACCGTACGAGAAAACTTTAAAAATTGTAACAAAATTAGTACTCATTTTTTTAAAATTTCACAAATATCTAATAATTTGATGTGCATATGTCTAATGATCATTTTAGACCGTTAAATATCATTTTTTCTTACATTTTTCTCTGTATCTACAAAATCGCTGGACCTGCCTTACCAAAAATTCTTACATTCAATTTATTATTTTGTCAATGCAAGTAAAATGTTAACAATTAATTTAAATATTTTTAAAGAGATTATTATAATTGCTATGTACTTATTTGTTCATATAATATACAGTGACAATCTTATCGCTCAAAACACTTAAAAATGTTAATATTAAGACGAGATGCCTAATGAATTCATCTGAGGAGATATTTCTTACGATTAGAATAACGCATATGAAATTTATACATTTTTAAACTGAATTGTAATCCTAAAATTTATATTCAAAGTATAGAACTTTGTATATTTTTAAAAAATTTGAAAAAAAAATCTGAAAAATTTGAAATTGGCTTGAACCGAATAAAAAAACTTAAAAAATTAGCAGTTTTAGTACGGAACCCAACAAAATTGTAACAAAATTAGTACTCATTTTTTAAATTTTTATCAAATATCTGATAATTTGATGTGCATAAGTCTAATGATGATATTGGGCCGCCAAATATCTTTTTTTTTACATTTTCCTCTGTATCTCCGAAACCGCTGGATCTACCTCCCCAAAAATTTAATAAATTCTTTATTACCTAAATAAAATGTTTTTTGAATAATTCAAATCGGACGCTCCGTTCTTTCAAGAACTGATTTACCGTTTTTGGCACTTTTTTCCCCATGTCTTCGAAACGGCTAGACCTACCTTTGCCAAAACCTAATCCGCATATCTTCTCATCAATAAAAATGTAATATTTTTTTAATCATTCAAATCGGTTGATTTATACATAAACAAATTGATAGCCATTCAAAATTATAAAGTATTAAACTTAGTGTAATTATAAATCATAGCGTCAATTTTTGGAATCATTTCGATTGCATTTTTTTATTTGATGTTTCACACACACATACATCCAATTTTTTACTAAGGTATGCCAAAATGTTTAGAAACCTTCTAAACGTGAAGATATGCAAAAATTTTCATTTTTGATTTTTTTGCGATTACTATAATTTACCCTACGGAAAGTTAAAAATTTAACAAATAATTTCGAGGAAGCTATCTTAACCAAAAACTAAACAACGCGGTTCTTAACAGATATTTTTCGAGCAGCGTCTGAATTTTTAAATTTGATACAGGATTGTGGGCTAAAATGTGGACGAAATATGTTCACTTCTAATCTCAAATGATAATTACAAAATGACTTAAAGCGCCGAAAAATCATAACATAATCAAGCGTTCAGGAAAAAGAACAAACTTTTTCCTTTATTAAGTTAAAAATTTCTCCGAAATTTAAGTACGCATATTTTCGACAAAGTAGTCCTCGGCACCCCTCTATCCGAGATCCTATTTACCGAACAATAAGGCAAAATAAAATGTGTCCCCTTTATCCAGTATCAACATGTAAACCGTTCTATGACTACTTTGTCATTTAATAGACCTTCACGCACTGTATCAATTGCAAAGAAGGATTAAGGATTTTCTGAAGCTTATTGTGGTGGTGGGTACAGCGTCATATGTTAAAAGTGAAAACGTCACGAATTTTTGTGTAAATGTGTCATGTGTTTATGTACACAGGTAATGGACTCATGTTTGCGGAAATTTATGGCGAAACATTTGTAGTAATCTAATCACTACAATACTACTCTAATAAGTAGTATTATTCTTGTGCAAATAAATATGCACAGTTGTAACTAATTTTACTGTGAATTAGGATTGAGGGTAAAAATGTCCACCACGGTATTTCCTAAATTTATTTTAAAATTTCTACATTTTAAAAAATTGAGACATTTTAGTTGAGTTTCTTTCCTCTCCCTTTTTCAATTGATTTGACATCCGATGTCGTCAGCCAAGGAAATGCAGATAGAATGTAAAATGTAATCGTATTACCAAGCAAGTTTTGTCGTAGCGGTTCCTCGTCGGTTTTATTCTATTTTTATTCAGTTTTTATACATTTCTATATGACTCTCGCACGCGACTTTTATCCTTTTTCCGACCCACGAATGGGTTATTGCAAACCAATCGCGCTGATATAAATATTGAAATGTTCTTAGAAATAGAAACATAGAAAGTGTAAGGGATCAGAAAGCTACTAGTTTGGTAAGGCCTTCAAAAATACAGCAGTGAAATTAATATAGGTTTTATATCCATTGTTGAAAACCAAAAGTACTTTTAAAAAATCCATTAGGAAAAAAATGTATCTATGTTTAATAAGATCAACTATGGTATATGACTCAAGAACTGGATGCATGACAACTTAGGATAATGAAAATTTATTATTCAAAATAACTAACAAATTAAAAATACAGTTACATATTCAATATATCATTGAATTCAATCTGGTTTTAGTTTATTACGCTTGTAATATATACTAATGTTAACAAAGAAGTAATTGTACAAATAAAGTTTTGCCATCCCATTGTCAACCACTTCTCAGTTTTGATATCTAATTGTAAGTCCTTTACCTGAAAGGGTATCAACTATGGCCTGCCTCGTGATCCGTTCTGGGACATCCATCGGTAACAACAGTGCTTCTAAAGTGAGGTCCATAAAACCTTTTAGAGTTATTGAATATATGATGGCACGTGATGTTTTCCTTCTTCTTATGAAACATATATATTTACGGTAAATGTTAGCCGACCGCCGCCACCACATGTCATATTTACATACATGTGTGTCGCAACGGGGATATCCGATTGCCCGTTATGTTTGTCCTCTGACCTGTCGAGGAGGAGAATCTAGGGGAAGGATGAATATTTGGCCTGTTGGCAAGTTGTGGCAATAGTAAAGGAAAATTGTGAATTTAGCATGACCATAAGAAGGTGATCTATATCATCAGCTGGTGGTGTGTGGCATAGTGCCTTAAGGCAAATTGCTGGGACTTTCCGTACCGTTACTTAACATTTTTAAAAGCTTCAAATTTTTTTCAAAACCTTGAAGTGATTGAATTTTCAATTAACTTTTTTTTTAATTTTACGCGGATAAAATTTCGGTACAGCTTCACAAGATTGGACAACATAAAATAATGCAAGACAAAGAAGATATTATTAGCTATCCTGTTTGCATGACATATGGATAAGATAAGAAAAGAATAAGTTGTACAAATCTTAATAGTAAAATAATGGAATTTGAATTTTGAAATGAAATGCAATAACACAAACTAATTCGTGTCGTAAATTTATAACTCGATTAATAGATAATATTAGGCAAACAATGTTTAAGTGTTTGCTTCACTTGTAACTCTACAGCTTCGAATTGTAAATATAACAGTGTGCTAAACTTAATTATTTTATATCTTATATTCTATTTCTAAATTCCTAATTTTGTCAATTTATTCCCTTGTCAAAAAAACAATGATAATATCATGGTTCGTATTCAAAATTGGTATTTTTTTAGATTCTTCAGCAGATAAAAAATCTATAAATATCTCTGCTTCATAAATTTTTTAAATTTTAAATCTCAAAAATAAGCAGCAATAATTCAAGAAATGCAATGAAAAAATATTTTAAAAGAAATTGTTAATTTTAGGATAATTTTAAATATGGAACTGTCGAAATAAAAAGTTATATCGAATATAAATAAAGGCAGTTTATTAGCAAATTATTGGTTGACCTCTATATTACCATATTCAAAAATATTGTTGATTTTTTTAGACTTTTAAAAATTTCTGGAATTAAATTAAAAAGTAGACGGTGTAGGACGTCAATATTATTTTAAAAAAGTGAAATTTGGTCCCTTTATAATGAAATTTCTGGTTTTATATTAGATTTTTGACTATATTTACTACAATAACAATGCATTTTATTATACATATTTATATAATGTTTTATCAGTTAGCATTACCATTATACTTGGTAATTGACCTTGTTGACCATTGACATTGTTAGAATATTTCAAAGTGCTTCTAAATTTCATATTTACACATTTTAATCATATAACAGTTTCAGATATCAATTGGTTTTTATATATTAGCAAACTATATAGTATTGAATTAAATAATAAATAAATATTTTTAATTCACTTTTTAATACTCTACAAAATAGCCTTTTTGCCTAATCTATTTTAAATTTTAAGCTGTTCAAAGCACAGAAATATATTTTAATTTAGAAATTTAAATTTTATCTTAGAATCTAGGTATCTACTTTTAATTTT